ATGGGGTGCGCTTTGGCGACGGGAGGCGCGGGAGTCAGCACCGCGTTCTTTATTGCGGGGGGCACTGAAGGCCGGTTAACTGAAGAGCTGCTGTCCAAAGATTCCTTTCGTATATTTTTATTAAGGGGACTGTTTTTGGGTTCCTGCTTGTTGGCAATGTTCTGGTTGTTCTCTATAAGCGGTTCGGGTGGAGGTGGGGCGGCTTCCACTTTGTTTGTGTCTAGAAGCTCCATCAGCTCAGCGGCTACAGTCCCACCAAAACTTAGCAGAGTCTCACGCAGTGCATTTGTTACCGCACACTGAAAGTTATTACAAAACTTATTAAAAAATGGTGCAATAATTTTTAGACATAAATCCAATGTCCAAATGACTTGAATGTCATTACCTTCCTGGCTCTATGTATAGCAGAGCCCTTGTTGGGTCCGAGTGCAGTGGCATAGCCAACATTCTCCCTGTGTATGTCAAAGCTCTTTACTGTAACTGACACAAACGCAGCCACACCAGCAGTACACTTGTTTCCCACACAGTCCACAAAATCTAAAATTAAATAAGACATTGTAAAACATTGTCATTATTGCAAAAATCAACAATCACAGCTTGACTATTGATTGCATACCAAGATCCTGCTTGCTGACAGACCAGCTCCAGTTATTGAAGCCCCACTGTGAGTGTCCAAAGTTGATTAGCTGCTGTCGTCGCTGTGGAGGTTCCCATTCTTCCTCTGCTGTACATATCTCTGGAGTACTCACATCTGGCTGTTGCAAGAAATATACAAAAGTTCTTTTACAAACTTGTAGATTTAGCAAAAGTAAATAAACAATACTAAGAGGAAATTTTTGTGATTAAGCAAATACAAAATTTATTTAAACTACTATGTACCTTGTAACTACTACAAAAAACATTAAAAAAAAAAACATGACTTTGTCTAAGTCTCATAAAAAACATAACAAAATCTTCATTACCATTTTAATGCTGCAATTGGCCACGGGGAAGCCTGGTTTTCGCTGCATCTTTATTATGCAGCAAAGTATATTCACTTTTATTAAGAATTCATTAAACAATTGACGCAGCCGCTACTTCCTTAACACAATTACTAAAATAAGAACTCGACAATTTTAACAATCAATTAACAAATAAATCTCCATTTCGCAAAATAAACTGAACAAAACAAGTATTGACATTTTGCGCGGTAACCAAAACTTATAGAAGCTTTGACATTTCGTTAACGATTGTTGAATTTTGCGTTTCTGCAAGGTAAAAATAATTTAAAGCACTGATTTAAATGATGCACCGATTTATGTTAATGTCTTGTTTTCACTTGTCTTTTAAACCTTCAAAGATCTTTTTAACATATTTTGTGAAACAGGAAGAACGTTTTCAATAACCATAGATCCGTCAGATTGATGCAAAGTAGACGTGAGCGTTATTTCACGTCACTAGTTACAATCACCTGTGA